TGGATGGTATCTATCAAACTTGTCTTGGCTAACTTCAATTGAATTCAGCTAAGATCATACTAAAAAAGCGACTAAGATCAGAGGCTTGTCAATGCAGCTTACTGTATTTGTAGTTTAGAAGAACTACATTCTAAAGATCCTGAAGTAAAAGAACATTAAAAGACATCATAAACCCACAAAAAATGCATAATTAACATTCGGTTTAAAAAAAAAAACTCACATAGGATTAGAGACTTGAGAATGCAGCTTACTGTATTCACAGAAGAACATAATAGTTACAAATTTCATACATGAGACAGCATGTGGTGTTGTTACCTGGTGTGTGCTTGTTGAAAAACAGGAAATTGTTCACCCATTGCACTTGAATGTGTAAGCAAGCTGCACAGGAAGTAACATGTTATTTCTATATATAATGAAATTGACCACCTTGTTTTTTTCATTCCATCCTCTGCTTCAGATCTCCGCAATGACAATAGATATATGGCTGATCATATGGGATCTAAATTGTAATGCCGTCTCAAATATGTTCCAATAGTGTAATCCTTGTTCTTGCTGCCTTTGAAAATTAAGAAACTGCACAATTTGGTTAAATTTTACTCCTAAAGAGGATAGTAAACCCCACCAATATTCTCTTCAAGTTCAATGCAAACTACAGGCCCTTGTAAGTAGCAATGCCCCGCAATGTCTTTTTTAGTTTGCAAAAATTGTGGAGGCTAAGTGCTGCCAAATATTTGAAGAGAGATGAATATTTGAAGAGCGATGAAGCCATTAACCATTATAGTAGGCTCTTAGTTGCTATATTTGAGACAAACGTAAATTAGGCAATAAGAAACTGAAATTTTGATTCATAAATTGGGAAAACACCCATGACTTCATAAACATTCAACAAAAATATATTTTGGCAGAAATGTTTGTACATGCAATGTGGACTTAATGATCAGCCACACACAATTTGTCTTTGTACATAAGTCTATCTCACTCTTAATTCAAGAATAGGACTGCTAGATGCAAAATAGTCATATAAAGCACACAATGTCAACTACCTGCTTAACTTGAATCTATGTAGAGCTAACTTGTTTATACAGAATATTTCTTAATCATAGAATGTCAAATATACTACTTACCAAACTAATTTATTCCGTGGAAGGTGAAGAAAATTCCTTCTGGTCAGAGTGCTATTAAACACAGAATGCCAAAAATCCTCAAACAAAGAAAGACCTTTTCATAAAACCAAACCAAGAACATACTAATATGAATATGGTAACAGAAAATTTAACAAAGAGTAAATGATATGAAAGCATATCCATTATGTTCCGCAACCTTGCATTCTGAATAAAAGACAATTCCAACATTTTAAAAACTCAATGAATTAAAGTAAAATGAGTGGATATTTGAAAATTTAGATGCATTAATATTAGCATATCAGTTCAAAGATATGGAAATAATAAGCTTTAGAATAAGTGTAAGATTATAATCTTTAGATATAAGAGATTAAAATTATAATTGAAATTTTGTAGGAATAACGATATAGTTCTGAATGAGACCAACCCTAACAATCCAAGGTTGTCTAAGTGACTCGTTGTAAATATAAATAGTTCATTTTAGGAAAGATGATATGATTAATGACTACTTATGTAATGCTCCATCAATCAAATGGGAATACATAATCATATATTCATATATATGAGTTCAGATAAACCTTTTGAGTTCAATTTCAATTTCCACCTTATAAATTGCTAATCTTTTTAGTCTTGGGAATGTTAGTCTCATAGGAATACACAATATCAGATATAAATCAGGTATAAAACAAAACAAATGAAAGAGAAACTGAAGAGTAATATCCAAGAATGTATGATGGGGTTATTTGGACAAATACATGATAAAATCAATGAATATAATTTTTACATAAATCTCAATGAATGCCATTGCGTCATATTTACAAACACCTACAGTATAATCACAAACCAAAAATTCAAAGTGATGGAGACTTACCTGAAATTCAAAGAAGTTAAAGGTATAGATATGTTGGCAGAGATGATTTCGGCCAAGAAGAAGTGAAGAACAAACTGAAAGCTAGCAGTCAAATCTGTAATCGACTGGATTTCGGCCAAGGAAAACAAATGGAAAGGTAGGGAATCTGAAACCGGCTTGATATTTCGGGTGCTAACTGATTGGTAGTAGGTTCGAATCCTACTTGGGAGTGAAGAGTAACCTTACCCACCTGATGATTTCAGATTTTTGGCGAAGATGATTCAAGCCAAAGGTGAACGAATCTGAAGTTGTTGATGATGTCTCAACATTTGCTGAGGCTAATCTGATTTGAGAAGAAGAATTCATCGATCTAGCGAGGATGCGAATAAAGGGAATTTGAGGAGGAGCGATTTGAGGCGTACAGGAGTCGAAAGAGAAATAAAGCTGAAGGCGGAAGCCGTAGATTGACCGTACTAAAATCGAACGGATAATAGAAGGTGTTGGGATGAGCGGGATTTTTTTTGAGAAATTGTAGTGCTATTAAGGAGAGGATTAAGGAGAGGATTGGTAGTAGGTTCGAATCCTACTTGGGAGTGAAGAGTAACCTTACCCACCTGATGATTTCAGATTTTTGGCGAAGATGATTCAAGCCAAAGGTGAACGAATCTGAAGTTGTTGATGATGTCTCAACATTTGCTGAGGCTAATCTGATTTGAGAAGAAGAATTCATCGATCTAGCGAGGATGCGAATAAAGGGAATTTGAGGAGGAGCGATTTGAGGCGTACAGGAGTCGAAAGAGAAATAAAGCTGAAGGCGGAAGCCGTAGATTGACCGTAGTAAAATCGAACGGATAATAGAAGGTGTTGGGATGAGCGGGATTTTTTTTGAGAAATTGTAGTGCTATTAAGGAGAGGATTAAGGAGAGGATTGGTAGTAGGTTCGAATCCTACTTGGGAGTGAAGAGTAACCTTACCCACCTGATGATTTCAGATTTTTGGCGAAGATGATTCAAGCCAAAGGTGAACGAATCTGAAGTTGTTGATGATGTCTCAACATTTGCTGAGGCTAATCTGATTTGAGAAGAAGAATTCATCGATCTAGCGAGGATGCGAATAAAGGGAATTTGAGGAGGAGCGATTTGAGGCGTACAGGAGTCGAAAGAGAAATAAAGCTGAAGGCGGAAGCCGTAGATTGACCGTAGTAAAATCGAACGGATAATAGAAGGTGTTGGGATGAGCGGGATTTTTTTTGAGAAATTGTAGTACTATTAAGGAGAGGATTAAGGAGAGGATTGGTAGTAGGTTCGAATCCTACTTGGGAGTGAAGAGTAACCTTACCCACCTGATGATTTCAGATTTTTGGCGAAGATGATTCAAGCCAAAGGTGAACGAATCTGAAGTTGTTGATGATGTCTCAACATTTGCTGAGGCTAATCTGATTTGAGAAGAAGAATTCATCGATCTAGCGAGGATGCGAATAAAGGGAATTTGAGGAGGAGCGATTTGAGGCGTACAGGAGTCGAAAGAGAAATAAAGCTGAAGGCGGAAGCCGTAGATTGACCGTAGTAAAATCGAACGGATAATAGAAGGTGTTGGGATGAGCGGGATTTTTTTTTGAGAAATTGTAGTGCTATTAAGGAGAGGATTAGGATTTGTTGAATTTAGGGTTTTTTGAGCATTAAATTTGGGCATTGAACATTGATAACGAATATGACAATAAGTGTTGAGCATGAGCAGTGAATATGGTAATACAAATATTAATTATGACCAGTAGTGCGGTAATGCAGAGCATTAATGCCACCATGTAATACAATATACTTAATTAGATGTCAAATAAAAATTTGTTAAATCCAAAAAAAAAGTATAAATAAATTCCTAAAGTGAATGAAAAAGGATTTAATTTTGGCGCAAAGTGCAGTAATTATTATCGGATGTGCAGTAATTTTAATTGGACAAAATTAGTGCAAATCCACATAATTTAAATAATGGTATTTTCGTCATTCAACATTTAAATAGAAACGAGATTTTCTTCTTTTTGGGATTTTTAGTCATACAAAAATCCAAAAACTAGTTAGGTCATACATTGAAAAACTCATCGAGTTTTAGTTATATCCTGGGAAATTTCCCTATTTTTATTTTTCTTACGTTTTTACTCCCGTGGAAATTTCTCTTTGAGGTAACTTTGAGCCCGTTTGGTAGCACAAAAATCGGCTGATTTGACTGATTCTGCTAAAATTTATGAAGTTCTGGTTGAAGTGGCTGCATTGGCTGATTCTGCTGACTTAAGAAAAAAAAATTTAAAATATATTTTATTAATAAAATAAAGAAAAATTATATGTAAAAATAGCTAAAATGATCATCTACAATAACTTCAGCCAATACAGTCAGAAAAGTAACTCAAACCTTACTTTTTCTGCTTGTTATACACAATTCAGTACGCGAAAGCAAAAATTAAGTGTTTGGTGAAAAAGTTGGCTGATAAGCCGAAAAACTGTGTTGCCAAACGGCCTCTTTGTAAATGTTTCCGAGGAAAACTCGTAAATGTTTCTAACCACTCTAGCAGAAAAGCAAGTTTCGGTCAAGTTGGTCAAAGATCCGTTTAACGAAGGTGAATTTAACCTACACAAACTTGTTATTCTTCGAGCTCTGTTTATTCAGTACCCAGAGTCCCAAAAGTCCCAAAGTCCCAAGGTCCAGAATAAGTCTCAAAACGATTCGTCATCATTATCTCATTGCTAGAAAGGCTCCGCACCTACGTATACAGTGGGGTAAGTGATCCGGAAGTGAGATATACGCAACATTACCTTTTACGTTATACTAAAACGTAAATAGACGGTTTCTGAATGACTCATACTATCATAGTGTAAATCGCATAGAAAATTACATAGACTAACTGCTGCTTCATAACAAAGAAGCGTAAATAATTTCGTGAGACATTTTGTTTTATTCCATCATATTCCAAAGCAAAAAATTGTGAATCTTTAACTCAATTGGAAATTTAGGAAATGAACTCTCACAGATTATGTTCATTTAATCAACAATGATTATGCATTTATGCTCATTTAGAAGCTAGAACCCAAACAGTTACAACATTTATGAATAAGTCTCAACATGATTCGAACTCTCACTGATTATGTTGAAACTCACAAATACGCTCAAACGAGCCCATAACAGCAGATAAAGATCTAGAATTAAAAAGCCGGGAAAGGTAAGTTTGGATCTAGACAAAGCCTTGGCCGGCCATGATTCTCAACCGAAGAGAAGCCTGGTTGCAGCCCACTTTGACTTGAAGCTCAGCTCTAGCTTTTTAATAGCCGGGTCAACCTCCACCTCTTCTGCTTCAGTGTTCACAGCCTCCTCTTCAGCAAGAGAATAAACCATCTTTATCTGATTTAATAATTCCTGCCTTTCCTCCTTAAGATATCGACTGCTATTCTCAATAGCCTCAAGCTGAGCTTCAAATTCACTTTCTTTCTTGTATAGCTTCTCTAACTTGGTCTTTATTCCTTCCCCCTTTTTCACCAACCCTTCAAGCAAATTTCGGGTCTTTTCAAAACTAGACCAGGGATGTTCGTTTCTTCTTCCCTTGCATTGAACTGAAACTCTCCATTCCTGAATCATCTCTGGAAAAGTAGCTTTCACGTTCGCAATTTCTTTGCCCCGTTCATCGCTGAACAAATAAAGGTGGGCGGATAGAGAAGACAGAGACTCCATTATGGCAGTTTCATTATACGGATCAGCCAAAACATCCAAAGGGCATGAATTCAGTATGTCGAGGATTTCTTTTGCAGAATGCAAAGGTCCTTTAAGGAAATCCATTTCGCATTTTAGGGCACTAGATTTCGCGCAGCAGCAGCTGGAAAGTCTCTGGGGTAGTGACTCCAGAAACGATTGAGCCTCGGCATAAACAGATTCCGCAAGATCGAGCGCGTCCAATGAATCTACATCCTGATCCGATCCCGTAGGAGAAAAAGGTGTCATTTCGCAAGGGCAGATCCAGTAAAAATTACTTGAATATATACGCAATATATGGATATACATGTATGACTGTATGAGCCCTATTCTTGTCCAGCCAGTCTCACCGGACCGCCGCCCAACCAAGGCCGTTTAGAGCCAAGTGGAATTTTAAGATGAAATGTTTTAAACATATTTTTCATAAAGTCTAGTTTACTCATACCAATTTTCAAATAAAAGTTCAATCGGGAAGGCAGCCAAATAAATTATTTAAGAACATTGCGCAGTTAATATATATAAAAAGCGCAGTATTTTTCAAAAATCATTTGACTGCAATTCCGATTGAATTTTTAAGTGAAATTTGATATTTATAAACTAGACTTGATAAAGAATATGCAAAAACAAATTGGATTAAAATATTCCACCGGAAAGGGTCCAAAATGCTTTCGCCGGGACGGCGTTCCTGTCAGGTCGGCTGGTGATAAAGTTTGTCATACATGTATATCCACGTAATATAAAATTAATACCCCTCTATCCCAAATTGTTTTTACAAAATTAACATTTTTTGTCAATTAATCATAAAAGTCAATCTTCTCTATCGATAATTAATTCAATTTTTAATAATTAAATAAAATGAATCTGTTTAACCAAGAAAAGTCAAATTTGTATATCAATTTGGGACAAATATAGTTTTACAATGTATAAAAATGTGATATAAAATTAGTTTTTAATAGCGATATTTAGATAATTAAATGTGATAACTGATATCTAGCCATATTTAGAGGATTTAGACAGGGAGAGGGTCGTTTGAGGTTGTGAGTTGGTGGAAGGAGGTGGTGGCGCATTTGGGGGTTGTGGGTAGTGAAGATGGTCAAGGATAAGGGGACGGGGGATAGGAAGTTGTAAGACGATGGAGGTAGTTGGGAGACGTCTGTGAAAGGAAATATTGACTCATCGAAAGTAAGATGTCTAGATATAATGATTTTGTCTGTAGTTAAATCTAAACAATGATAAGCACGGCGTTAAGAGGTGAAATCTAGAAAAACACAACGAGCAAACAGGTAACAAGTTTGTTAGGGTTGGTGGATCAAAGATTAGGGTAACAAAGACAACCAAAGGTGAGGAGGTGATCATATGTAGGTTTGAGATAATAAAAAGTTAACACTGAAGAGAGGAAAGCTAGAGTTTTAGTTGGAAGGGTGTTATATATGGAGTTAAACAACAATATAAAAAGAGAGCCTACCCAATATTATGGGTCGATGGAGGCGTGATTTATAAGAGTCCGTGTGATGTTATTATAAATTGAGTGAGACGTGAGGTGGCCTAGTGTCCATATAAATTGAGTCATCGGGCAGCTATAAAGATAGAGGGTTGTAGGCCTCAACAAACATTGTGAGAGCATGGCTCAATATGAGATGAGCTCCAACATGAGAGGCACCGAGAGAACCTTCACGGTGGGATGGCAGGCGATGCAGAAGCAGGTGGCGGACAACTACTTGAGCGAGGGCGACGTCCTCCAGAGTTGTTCAGAGTGCGTGAGTAATAAGACTATCGACCCAGATTGGAGGCCAGATTTGGTGAGGTGTGGAATGCGGGAACAAGGTTGTGGTCTAAGGTCACAAAGTGTCGTATTCAAGAGAGGGAGGCCATTAACAAGGTGAATAACAAGGTGAATAATGATTATCTTGTCTTCCGTAGGAAAGCCTTGATCCTTGAGCCATTCTGAAAAGGTTTGTAGCCTGTCATATGGAGTGTTTGCAATTGCTTCAACTTTAAAAAAGTGATTTTTTAAAGTGATTTTGGGAAAAGTGATTAATAGTAAAAGTTGGTAGTGTTTGAGAAAAAAGTGATTCTGGAAAAGTAAAAGTTGGTAGTGTTTGGCAAAATAAGTACTTTTTGTGTAATACTACCTCCGTCCCAAATTGATTTGCAAATTTGACTTTTCTTGGTCAAACAGTTTCATTTTATTCACTTAATTAGGATGTCAAATTTTAATTATATTCTAATTTGGAGTTTACAACATGGAAGAGATTTTAATGTAGTTTCTGAATATATAAATTTTAATTATCAAAAATTGAATTAATTATCGATAGGGAGCATTGACTTTTATTATTGGTTGACCAAAAAATATTGAATTTGCAAAACAATTTGGGACGGAGGGAGTAGAAAAAGTCAGAAGCAGTTTAAAGCACCCTTCTACCCGCTTCCAGCTTTTAGCTTTTAGGTGATTAATTTAAGCAGAAGTTGTCATTTGAAAACACTCTTTTTAACTTTTTTTAAGCCAAAAGCTGAAAAGCGCTTTTTTTAAGCAAACTCAAACACTCCTATAGTAGTCATCAACATCAGCACAACATGTGAATTTAAGATTTAAAATTTAAGATTTAAAGTCAAGATCCTTGATCATGTTATTTGATAAGTCCGTATTTAGACACGCATTTGATGCGTGTTGGTATCGACTTTTGATGGTTTTCCTAGCTTTATGGTGTTACAAGTCTCAATTTTAGCTCAAGTTATGTTTACCAGGCATTGGTTCGAATTTTGTGTCATTTGGAGTCAAAATCAGGGAATTAGAGTTAGCATGCGCAGATGTTAGTTGTACATTCAAACAAAAGTCAAGTCAAAATTTTTGAATTTTTTTCTTTAAACTGTGTCTTTGTGAGCTAGCTAGCGTTTTGACTATGCTTTTAGAACATCTTTGAAGTGTTTAGGCTTAAATTGCTTGCACTATATTTCAGTTGTTGAGAGGATGAAGGCATTAATCACCCATTGAATTTAATTCATAAATAATCCATCCCACCTGAAAAATTCTTTTAGGAGAAGCCAATTTGAGTCTGACCATTCCGTTATTTACCCAATTAATTGAGCTCCATAGCCAATGACATGTATTTCCTTACCCGTGAATTTTTCTAACAAAGTCTTGATGTTTAGGAAACTAGGGAATTAATTCACTAAGTTTAGGGAATTTTTGTAGGAGCCATTTTTGGCACTGTTCCTATGCCTTAAATGGGGTAAGAACAGTCACTTTTTAGAAATTTGATACTTTCGAGGATTGCATTGTAGGCATGAACAACTTTGAATAAATGAACTTTAAATTGCTATTTTTCCTGGGTGAGGCCGAGATTAGAATGGGGTAATGTCTAGTGAACATACGAAAGGTGGAAAATTAATATAGCTAGACCTCTTGCCTTGCGAAAAAGAGAATAGGAGCCCCGGTCAAAAAGCGTAAGATGAGACTTGGGTATCTTTCAAAAGAAATGGCATTCTCGTGCCAATATGACAAGAAAAACTATACCTAATTAAATGAATTTGGAGGCTATTGCAAAATTAGCTTTAGTCCTTCGCGTACTTCAAGTTTATGTCAAAGCAGATATGTGTCGCGACGGTTTAGCTTAGTTGTACACCATGTCTACTTCTTGCATAGGTTTAGATGATAGTTCGTAATTAGTGGCTTACAAAATTCCTTGATCCTAAGAATAACCCTGAAATTCCTGAATGCATTGAGTCTTTGTTAGGATGTTCCAAACTCTAAAAAAGGGACTGTTTATTATCATTCACCATTCACCACCGCCTTCACAAGTCCTTCTGATCGGTAGCTAGTTTATTTGTGTACGCTATCACTACTTTGAGGATGTTGTGAATAATTTTGTCATTTATTTTAGCTAGAGTACAAAGATGTAGTTTAGGGAAGAATTTTTTTGGTTTAGTTTGTATGTTCTGTGAGTATCCCTTTAACTATGTGTGCATACTAATTATTTTGATTCCGTGTGGTGATTATCGTAAGTCTCGTTCTTCAGTTTGCTTGAGGACAAGCAAAGGCTTAAGTGTGGGGGAATCTTATAAGTCCGTATTTAGACACGCATTTGATGCGTGTTGGGATCGACTTTTGATGGTTTTCTTAGCTTTAAGGTGTTACAAGTCTCAATTTTAGTTCAAGTTATGTTTACGAGGCGTTGGTTCGAGTTTTGTGTCATTTGAAGTCAAAATCAAGGAATTTGAGCCCGGCACCAACGCTTGAGGAACAATCAGGATGATTTGAGAAGCATTTGAGATTGATTTGAGAGCTATGGAGGTCACCGGCATGTTTACGATGAAGATTTGATGACAAAAGAGCTCTAGGATTGGCTACGAGATCAAAAGAAGACGAAAACAGCGTGAAAAAAGCGATCAGGATGACCTTCTGCCAATCATTCAAGCATATTTCTTTGTAGAAGCATCCAAAGGACAAGAATCAAGTTACATATGAAAACCAATTTCAAGGTCTACAAAGCATATCAAGACATCGTTCCGAGAATCTGAGAGGAGCAAGGTGAAAACAGATGATGAAGTCAGGTGATCCCTGTTGCGACTTCATTATCTACAACTTTCATGAAGGAAGATTTGTCAAATTCAAACTGGAGAAACGGTGAAAAACAGGCTAGGCACGATCGTGCCTAGAAGGAGGGGCCGTAAGCTCGCTTATCAAATCCATTGTCGTTTAATTTGTGTTTGAACAATTTAACTGATATCTTTTGTAACCTAGAATGCAGCTAGAATTACAATTGCATGTAGAATGAATTAAGAGAGATCTAATTTGTTCTAGGACACCTTCACACACGCTTAATCGTTCGCTGAGAGATTAGTAGCGATTAAGGGGCCGTAAGCTCGCTCGTCTTCGCAATAATTTAGGATCATGTCGAATGAGAGACTAGTCTGGTCCCCTAAATTATTGTACTTTGCGCCGCGAGAGCGGTAAGAATTTAGTAATGATTAGCTAGGCTCAATTAAATCAATTTCATGTAATTATGTCTGTTCTTCCAGAAATCTGGTTACCCCGGAAGCAATCCCTGTTCCCTTCGTCGTTAATTGATAAGAAACGAATCTTTTATTTTCATCGCGCAATCGCATTAGTTTAATTTACTTTTTATTCAACCAACCAATCTCGCACACTTGCATTTTATTTTATTTTTCTTTTTAATCGCTGAATTTAGTTAATCTTTGATTCCCTTTTCTGTCCCTGTGGAGACGATACTCGTACTTTTACACCACTATTCTACTACATTTTTGAGTGCAAGAAAACTCACATTATTATCATTGAACAAAGTCTTGATACAATCCCACATGTCGTTGGCAGTGTTATCCAAATTGAGAACAATGAATACC